GTAACCGCCTCCCACCGGGCCCAAACCCATGGCCGATCATCGGAAACCTCCCACACATGGGCCCTAAGCCCCATCAAACCCTAGCCGCCATGGTCACCACCTACGGTCCGATCCTCCACCTCCGTCTAGGGTTTGTAGACGTTGTGGTCGCGTCCTCTAAATCCGTTGCCGAGCAGTTCTTGAAAATTCACGACGCCAATTTCGCAAGCCGACCACCAAACTCAGGAGCCAAACACATCGCATATAACTACCAAGATCTTGTCTTTGCTCCTTATGGACAAAGATGGCGAATGTTGCGTAAGATTAGTTCTGTTCATCTGTTTTCAGCTAAAGCTCTTGAAGATTTCAAACATGTTCGACAGGTAAAAATTATTAACATTAAACGTTTCTCTCATTTCCAAACGCTACTTCACCTTGCAATTACTCATGTGAGTCATGTCGTTTCCATGTTTATCATAAGTTTATATAATTTTATTATAAACAAAAAACGAAATAAAAGTTTATTTTTTTTATATAACTAACTCTGATATTTAAGAAAATAGATCAAGTAGAATGGTGGATTGAGGTTTTTTTCTTGTTTCCTTGGTTGACAAAGAAAAAAATATTTACCTTTTAGCAATAAAAAAATAACAATAATAAATTATTTAGTAATATTTCTCTGTTTTATGGAATCTTTGGTTGTAAAAATATCCTATATATAATTTTAAAACCAAGCTTTGAAAGCTAGTAGGTTTGGTGCCTATATTTAACATAACTAACTAATTTGAGTAATTTCAAATCCTATCTTCGCTATAGGCCACAGAACATGAATTTGAACTTTTTCTAAAATTTGTTTTGTAATTAACACATACATGATATATTAAAATTTGGTTTTATACCAATCAATCTAACATATATCTTATTGGATTCTATAAATATGGGTGTTATATATTTTATTTCATTTCATTTGATTAAAAACCAATTTCAATGAGTCAGTATGCAAGATTCATGGAGCTATGCAATACTGTCATTGTCGTAGATTACAAGACGGCTACGACGTACGTTTGAATCGATGTACCCATGGAAAGTGATCAGATACTCCAAGGAAAAAATATTTAGTAATGGACCACATTTTTTCCTTAAACAGAAATGTCAATTTCAATTCAGACTGTTGATAATATTTCAATTAATTAAATCATTTTTTTCCTTTTTCGTCTAAATATATATTGATGAATGTCACAAGATTCATCTGAGTTTGACAATTTAATCACAGGTAAACAGAAGTGGTAATCGAATTAAAAATAGATCATTTAAATCTCTAAAAATCAAGAAACTAGACAATTTTTTTTTTATTAAATTAAACTATATATATATATTTTTTTAATTCTGATGAAAAAATTTAGACTATTTTCGTAATTTTGTTGATAATTAAACGGGATCCCATGATTAAACATCTAAAGGCATGATTATAGGTGGTAAATAAGAGTAAATATAAGAGATTTTTAATATTATAAAATTCTTAAATTTATCTAAATCATTTTTGAATTTCTAAATATATAATCAATATTATCTATATTTAGTGGATAAATATAACATT